GTAAGTATAAAATGAGTAGAAAGCAAATGCTTACCTTTGTTATTATTAGCCTCTTCATGAAGATACTTACCACATAATTTATAGTAAGAACACTAGAGGTGAAGTAGCAGGCAATGAAAATGATTAACAATCACCTCAATGAGTTTTTCTCATTCACTTTGGTACAAAAGCGTTTTTTTCTTTCCTCTTTGTAGCCAAAACCAAGTGCTCCTTTCATAACATTTCTTCAAGTAATTGAATATTGCATATTGTCTTTGAAACTGACTATTGTATGATTGACTGTCATCATGAAGATGTACGTTGAGTTATTCTATTAAGGCTTCTGTCAAGATAAACACCCTATTCTTCATACTTCTGGATATTTAAAGACTAAATGATAATTCAAAAAGCTGTTGATAATTTAAAATGATGCATATTCTTCCAAATGCAAATGCAAAAGATGTTTGTTTTAGTGTTTAAGAAAAGTATAATAGTCTTGTGTTTCAAATACTTTATTTTGTGCTTTTCCCACTCTTGTAAATCATATTTCTTAGTTGTGATCTCATTCTGTTCTTATTTTTCTATTTAATTTTATTTTTTCTTTATTACCCAAGATTTTTAATAAATTAAAGCAAAAAAAAAATTGATAGAAGTGCAATAAATTATTGAACATTTGGGAAATTTAAAATTTTATGGTTTTTGCATCAATTAAGGAGTCCTTAAATCTAGGTAATAAAAATAACAATGTGTATTTAATATTTTATATATAATATTTATGATAAAATAAATTTTAGTTATAATTTTAGTACTCAAAAAAATTATTTATTTTAAAATATATTTATTTAAAAATTTAAATGAACTATGTGAAGGTAATACTTTTATGAAGGGATGAACATTAATAATTTATAAAATTTTATAACTTACTTGACTATAAAATTTTATGTTAATTAATCTAGAATAAATTTAATATATCCCTAATAAGCAGAAAAAATCATATAAAAATTCTTAAAAGTAAATATATTTAAACAAATCATATTCCTTCATATGCTAGTAGGTTTAGTTATTTGTTTTTTATTGAAAATCAACTCAATTCTTTGCCATGCAACTGTGCTTACAAAAACTTCCACTATCGATAGGGAAGGTTTGAAAAAGAATTTATTAAATTTTCATGACAGGCAAGGCTTCCAACCTCGCAACCTTTGGAGAGACTTTCAAGTCAAGGCGATGAGCTCTCTCAGCTTCTGGATGAGACCACGGTCATCAATCTGGAACGCCTTGGCGATCACATCGTCGTTGATTGGAGGATTGGAAGCAAACACCGCCTTGGCCACCTGAGACGCCCCGGGGTTCTGGCTGTTGAAGCCAGCGAGCCCAACCGCAGGCTCCTCTCCCACATTGAGCTGGAAGTGGATGAGCCCCCGAGGGAAGACGAAAAGATCCCCTGGATTGAGCTTTTGGGCGAAGAGCTTGTTGTCCGGCAAGGTGGTGACGAATCCGACGTAGAGGGTCCCGTGCAGGACGAAGAGCAGCTCGGTTCCTCGGGGATGGACGTGGGGGGGATTGGTGCCGCCGGGAGCGTAGTCGATGCGGGCAAAAGCGACGCCAAAGGTGTTGAGACCGGGGAAATTGATGGCGCTCGCCAGCGTGACGTTGGAGCCGAGCTTGTTGTCGGTGTTCCCAGGAGTCGCCAGGAGGCTCGACTTGAAGTCCTCGGCTTTGACATCGTCGGCCGCCTTGCAGACGAAGCCGTTCACCTTGATCTTGGAGGTATTGTCCGCAACGCAAAAGTCCTGCAGCATATCTTCATCCGCGGCATGCACCAACAAGATGGAGCTGATTGCTAGGAGGAAGGATAGAACAAAACGAAGATGAGCCATCTTGCGAGCTTGGGAAAGAAGTGATGGAGCTATGGGGGGGAGGGGCCGGCATTTAATAGCCGGAGGAGGGGAGCTTTGGATGACTTCGTCGTGAGTCATGCACGAGTTGTTTCAGTCAGGTACACTTCTCTTCCCTTCTATTTCATTTTTTTCTCTTGCTGTCTGCGTACCACAATCTGATGTTCTTCCAGCCTAGTCAGTCGTCTTGGACTTTTTCTTGTCTGCGTCAGACATGACGCCGTCAGAGTCGTATTTTTTGTGTAAAGAATGACTACCTTGGTTTTGATGGTAGGTACTCGTCGACTCAGTGAAACTTCGAATTTGAGGTGACAGTGCACTAATTTGCTGTTTTCTTCTTTCCAGAGACTTTTCGCCAGAGACGTATGGATTTTCTTTGTAATGCCAATAACTTGAATAAGAATTTCATCCGAGAAAAGGGGCACCATTTGATACAGTCGGAGCCTCCCAAGACTCACCCTTGTTTGGATCTCAAACTACATGTGACGGGCTCACATGTTTGGAAAATTTGATATGAATTACCTTGATAGAAATGACGTGCTTTGATCGATAGACCCATCAAGCTTCGTTCATTTTTCATCAACAATGGACCGTACACAATTCTTCATGCTGACACTATAATAGTAATACATGTCGGCCCATATGGAGGCATATGACCACTGGGACCAAGGGGGGAAGAACTCTTACATTCGTTTCGCAGATTTGCTACCAACTTTGCAACCGCAGGCGGACTCCTCGGGGATGGACGGACTGCAGCCCGCGGGTTTGACGTGATCTTGAAGGCATTGTCCAAAAGCCCTGCAGCATGTCTTCGTCCGCGCCTGGCGAAGCGAGCATGACGCTTCTCCAACCACTAAGACGAGCAATCTTCCAGAGGGCTTCTAGAACTATTGTGGCTGAACCTGGTCATCTTTAAGTCTAGGTTCTAGCATTGGATTCGTATATTTCACCAACTGTTAGCACGATGCAAACAAGTCATATACTCTAGGAGCAAATAAAGAAAAGTTTTTGGAAAGAGTACAACCAAGCTACCCATGTGCAAACTAAAGGATCCATTAGTAGCTTTATGATAAGTTTTTTTTCAGAAATAAGAGACTTGAACCATATTGTATGGCAGATCACTGGCGCGAACTGTATTCTTGAGCTTGCGATAGAGCAGCAAGAAGAAACTATACAGAGATAAACCAATTGTTTAAAACTCAGCAGGGTCGTGTTCATCAAATGTTAAACTAATATGTCTTATTCCTCTTATTAAATTTTCTTTATGACATAAACAGGCATTTTATTTATAAATTATTTAAAATTTAAAATTTTATTTATTTTGATTCTAGAGGATGATGATTTTTTAATGATAAGTTACATTACATTGTTTCGTGTTAATGCTTTATAAATATTCAAAAAGTTAGAAATAATATTTTCTATTCTCATTTTTACATGATTACTTTATCTGCACAATATATCAATTCCAGCTCTTTTTCCAGATTAAATCACTATAGATAGCTTAAAAGTATGATTTAACCTTTTTTGTCATTCACTTCTTTGATTTGTTGTGGTGTTATGTTTGTATACATTACAGAGACTACGCGAAGCCTTCAAATTCTATGGGAAAAAGAGGGTAATGCTGAGGTAAAGACCTGGAATCTCAAGCTTTTTAATAGTATATATAGTTATGATTATTTACTGCAATGAATCAATCCATCCCAGTCATGTTTAGGAAAATTTATAATTTATAAATACAAGATTAGTTTGAGAACATATTAGAATAAGCTAAAATATACTAGGAATTCTATAAACTATAAGAAGGGTCAAAATTATAAATACGAGATTAATGAATAAAACCGTTTGATGGTAGAATATCCCAGAAAATGCAAGTATATTCTAGTTATATCCACTACCACAAACAAACCAAAAACTATTTACATGCAACAACCAAAAGTTTATATTGTGTATGATCAGAAACATTTAGTATACAAGCTACAACATTCATTTTATGGGTTTGAAATTACTTCTCTAGAATTGAGTCGAATTTACATAGCAATATGGTGCTAATTGTAATATTTTAAAGAGACACCATTTTCTTTTGTTGAATTATTATAATAACAAATTAGAAAAGAAATCTCAAATTCGTTATTGAAATCAATCTTTCTAAAGGTTATGATGTTTTGTGCTAATTAAACCAGAATCAATTTCAAAATATGCATTTTGGAATATCAAAAGTTTTATATACGTTAGCAAGGGTATTCCGCCTTGCCTAACTGAAGCATACCTTAAAGGGCATTATTAATTATGCCATTATCAAATATCACCATATAAGTCTTGTTAATGAATATTAACATAAATTAAGGTTATATAATAACAGTGATAGTGTCATCTAAAAATAATAATGTTATATTTTAATTTAATTTAATTTAATTATTATTCATATAAAGATTTATATATATTTTATAATAAGTTAAGTATTTATATAAATATTTTATAAATATAATTATAAAGGTGAATATAATTAAATTTAAAAATTAGAAATTAAAATTTAAACACTATTAAGTTATTTTAAAAATTACTTAATTTTGAGCAAATAGATTAAAGAAGAAATGTTTAATTTTAAATTTAAGTCAAGATTTGAGATAGTCATAGGAATATATTTATGATCAGTCATATGTGATACACAGCTAAAGCCCCTCCAATTAAATAAATTATGATTATGACAATAAAGGGATGCTTAAATCTTAAATCGCTCTGCTATTTATGATTAAAAATGAACCAATATATTACTAAGCCTTTGAGATTTTTCTTCTCTTTTCTTTGGTTTCTATTTGTTTTCTTTTCTTTGCAACTCAGTTAAGCAAGCTTTAAACACCTCGTCTTTAAACAAAGGTAGAAAACAACAGCCTATCCTAATTTCTCAATGAGACAATATTGACAATTGGCTCTGCAGAATAATTTCTCTAATCTATAATAAGTATTCACAATAAAGAAAAGAAAGAAAAGGAATGGGATTCCTCTGCTTTCTTATCATCCTAATTAGACTAGCAACGTCCCAGGTAACGCAAGCAACCTCCATCACAGGCGCTAACACAACCCCGGAATCCCCAGGAGGCCAGCGATTTGACTCCATCATGGGAGTAAATGGAGCCCTCTCCATCCTCTACGGTGCCATGGCCTTCGTCCAGCTTGGCTTCGAGTATGGGAACCCTGACATGCCCAAGAAGGAGGTCGATGCCATCCACTTCACCGTGGATGACATGCCCGGGGTGTGTGGAGATCCATCTCAGCGCACAGTACGTTGCTACTTTGACTGGGAATATGGTTCGTGAGCTCACGGGCATCTTGTACCACGAGATGGCTCACATTTGGCAGTGGCATGGCAAGGAGGGGAGCTGGCCGCCGCAGGGACTGATCGAGGGGATTGCCGACTTTATGAGGCTCAAGGCTAAGCTCGGGGTATCAGGCAATGGGTTTGTGGGGTTGGGGAACCACTGGGACGAGGGGTATGCCGTGACCGCGCTGTTTCTAAACTACGTCAACGATCTCCACCCTAGCTTCGTGGCGGAGCTCAACAAGAAGCTCTACGACGGTTGGAGCGAGAGTTACTTCCAGGATCTGACTGGGAAGAGCGTGGATCAGCTGTGGAATGATTACAAACAGAAGTTCCACAAACAAGATGTTGTATAGGAAAGTAATTCTGGTGCCCACAGTAAAAGCTTTGAGATTTTAAAACATGCTCGAACACTAGCGTTGTTGCAAATGCCGGGACAAGGCACTTCGAGAGCTACTTCCAGGATCCAACTGGAAAGAGCGTGGATCAGCTGTGAGGTGATGACAACACAGATTCCATTAATAAAAGTTTGCAGACTGATATAAACATTACAATGCCAAACACTAAGAGATGAGTTTCAAACGAGCATTATAGCAAATGCCTATGTTGATACTTCGACTTATAATCACTCCACAGCTGCTCCACGCTCTTTCCCGTAAGGTCACTAAAGAAGCTCTCGCTCCACCTGGTGGCGAGCTTGGAATTGAGCTCCGTCACAAACCCAGGCCTGAGATCATTCACATAGCTGAGAAAGAGTGCCCCACCATTGTCTCTCCCTCTCTCTCTCTCTCACACACACAGACACATCACACTCTTTTCTCCCTCACACAAACAGCAAACACTTCTAGGAATATAAACACATAAATTTTTCCTCTTTTTTTTTTTTTGACTTTTTTCGACTTTTTGTTTGCTGTCGGGATTTCTAGCAAAAGAACAAAAACTAGAAAGAAAATGCATTTTAGTCGTGATGACAAAAAGAGAGCTTTACAAGGGCGACCACCTGTTCTCAAACAAAGAGGAGAGAAATGCAATAGAAAAACCAAAAAGAAAAAAATTAAAAAAGAGAACCTGGACGGACGATGTAATGCTCGGATAATCCGGGCACTCAAAATCTTAATAGCCTCTACACGGTCTGTTATTAGTAGCAGCAGTAGTGGTAGTGCTCGTCGTCTCTCTAACATAAAACGCCTGTGATTCACAAGAGAGAAGCGAGGATTAGTACCAGGCACCAAACGCTACAAATCAAAACCAAGCACACAACCTGCGTCTTTTATGATGTCGAAGGAAACCAGGAGCTTACTGTACCATTGGCGCGTCCACTTCCATGGAACCCGGCCGTGCCGTTGCTGCTCGGCCGCGCCACGGCGGGCAGTCCGAAATGCCTCGGCGGCGGCGGAGGAGCAGCGTGCAAGTCACCGCGAAGCGCCATCTGGAGAGCTCTCACTTGCCTCAGCCCCTCGTCGTGTATTCTCGCCAAAATCTCCAGCTCGCCGAAGGAGAGCGTCTCCAGGCCCACGCCGTAGAGAGGCGCGTGCATGTGGAGCTCCTCTCGGATCGACGACTGCAGGCTCTCGACGCGTTCCTGCGCAAGAGAGCTCGATCAGAATGGACGTGACAAAATGAACTGTAGATGACGTACCTGTAGTGCCTGGTTTGTAGTGTCCATGTTGTGAGCATACGATTTGTACTGACTTATCTGTAGGTCCTTCCCACGGCTGTCTTCCTCGGAGCGCTCTAGCGCTTCCTTTAGGTTGCGGATATCCTCTTCCTGCGACCGGCACAGCTCGTCTCGCGTGACAGACTTTGCCGATAGACGGTCGAACTCTTCGGCGTAGTTTGCACACACGGCCTCCGTGGACTTCAGTCTTTCGGCAAGCGCGGTCTTCTCTTTCGTAATCCTCTGTAGGAGAGAAAAAGATACGTCAGCACTGCATAAACTTTTTGAAAGACGAACCTTTAGATCGTCGCGTTTGCGTTTGAATTGCGATATCTGGGACTCAGCGTCACGCAATCGGTCTTCAAGACGCTTCCGTTCAGACGCATGGCTGGCTTGTTCGTCTTCCCGCTCTGAACGAGACCACTCGAGCTGGCTCTCGGTGTCTCTCAACCGCTCAATCGCCTCATTTTTATCCCTCGACAAACGCTCTATCTCTCCCTTCAGCTCTAACTGAAAAACAAAAAACAAAAACATCAAACTTAGAAACTCGACATGCAAAAAGAGACCGCACCTTAACCCGCAACTGTCCAGCCTCAGCTTCTGAGAGACGCTGCGAAAGCGAAGCCTTCTCTCGTGCAAACCGGGCGACTTCATTTTGCTTGTCACTCCGAACCTTCGCAAGCTCTTCTTCGCGGGCAGACAGCTGCTGCCGAATTGAAGAGCACTCGGCGTTTGCTTGTTGTACCGCTTTACGCATCATACGCAGCACGGTAGGCACTATCTTCAACTCCTTCCCTTCCTTCCCTTCCTCCTGCTTGACTAAAAGCGTCAAAATGTTCATCTCTAGCTGATCATCGTCCCCACATCTACTGCTGCTCGTCGCACGTTCTACAAGACCCCGAACCATGCGTTCCCGCAAGACGTCATCGCAGTATAACTTGAACATGTCAGTGTACAAAGTGCTGACAAATTCACGAACCTTGGAATCCTTGGAGCTGGATATTGCTTTCACGAGTGCCAGAAGAGCCGTAAACATGCAGTCCGGACTTGACGTTGAGTCAGGGCTCCGTGAGGCACTGCCTGCGTCCCCGGAATCCTTTGCCTTCCCAACGCGTCGGATGCATAACACCTTATACACAGAAGAATTACTAATGGTACCCCTTGCCACCACCCTCTCGATCAACCGTTGAGCTTCTACTACGAAAGGAGAAACGTTGAGCATCTCCAACAGAATATCTACATCTGCGATTCTTGCTGCGTCGCCCTGTCCCCCATAACCAAAAACTGAAAGACCGTCGCTATCACTGCATTCACTATCTGCGTCGATGTCCCTAAGTAATGCTTCTCCCACACCAGGACAAGTGAATATCATGTCTCTTACTACCTCAAGAACCTTTGGAGAAACACTAGTCCCTAGCATCTTGAGCCTCCCTCGCACGGCTTTCACCTGTAGCATTAAACCACTAAATCAGGTTCACGACAAAAGCTGGTCTTACCGCTTGCGGAAGTTGATAACACTTGGCGGCAGCTTTAAAAATGTATGTGATGATGATAATCAGAGCCTCGTCTTCAGAGTGGGCAAAAATCCGCAGCGCGTGCTGGAGGATTTGTTCCCAAACTTCCGTATTCAGATCAAGTTGGACCAATGCCCCAAGACCCTGCACATAAAGAGCGATAGAAACAATGTATGGAGAGACTTCGCACCTACCGCTAGACGCAAGTTGATGTCCGTGTCCTTTCTTTGAAGCCAATCTAAAAGTGTGGAAGCGACCGATTGATGTTCGGAAGGATCCACAAGTTTAGGAACGAGCGCCAGGAGATCGTGTTGTAGGTATTTCGGAGCCCTCTCTAAGACCAAAGCCATCTTCTGCGCAGACTGTGGTCGTCTCCTTGGTTCTGGACAGCCTTGTGGAACAGCCCCATCTAAAGCTCTCAAGGAGTTCACGATCAGCCGAAAGAGCTCTTCCGATTGTTCAGGCCATCTTAGCTTCTCGAATCCACAGACAATGAGTGGCCATGTTAGCGATCCAACAGAAACTTCAAGACTAGCTTACCTCGTTTGAATGGATTACTGATGGCTCTGATTCAGGTACTTGAGCGACACGTTTACCATCTATTTCACAGCTTTGTACCGCTTGTAGGCAGCCAATGCCATCAGCAGCGTCGTCCAGCCTCTGGTTGAACACCCTCTGTGCAGAATCCTCTTCATTCAAAGCAGCAGTACCACCTTCTCTCGAGTTGAGATCAATCTTGGCACTCTCTGGAACCGCTTGAAGCTTCCCATTCTGACGCTCGTTATGCTTCTTCGATTCTGCAGGCTGGCAGCACTCCACCATTATATCCAGCAGAAGATCGACAATGGCCTGTTGAAGCACCTTGACTCCCATAAACAGGTTCATCAAACTAGGAGAAGTTGTCGCCTCTTTACCATTCCCCAGCTTGCACGAACTTGCGACCGTGGAGACTTTAGCGGGTAAAAGCAGGCGTTTCACCTTCACCGGATCGTCCAGATATACACGGAGATCAGTTAGAAATGCTGCGACTGCTCCTGCGTCCATGGAAACTTTTTCCCGGGGATCAAGAAGCCGCTGAGGATTGTCACCGTAGCTCATATGAAAGCCTGCTCTTGCAAGTAAGTTCCTGAAAATATCTTCTTCGTCTTCGCTGCTACCGTCGGAGTCGTCAGACTCCAGTAACTCATCCGGATCAGTCGAAAGAGCATCTTGGTCATCATCGGAGACTAAAACCTGCAACACCACAGCATGATTTGCTAAAAACGGCAAGTAAACATACCTCCAAATCCGAGAACTCAAACCACGGGCAACAGTCCAGAATCTCGCAAACAAATACGATGGTGTCACGCATCATAAACCCACCGTCTGGCTCCACCATGTCGGAAACCTTCATAAACTGGAGCACGGAGTTATTCCACGTTTTTGTACAGATGGAGGACTCCTTCCAAACAGTTCGATCGGCGTGTTTCTGATTTACGACCGCCATACGGTACCGGACCCAGAAATTGCGGTCAGGATCGGTACCAGGGGACTGATCGCTCTCCAAATAAATGCACAGTGTGTCAAAAGATTCGTAAACACCTGTTCATGCAGCCAGGCACATTGTTGAATAAATAAAAGTATAATTCCAAAGTTATGCGTACCGATTCGAAGTTCGCAGCCCCCAGCCTGGAAAAACTTGCTGAATATCTTCCGAGTTTCCATGATCTCTTTGAAAGCCAAAAAGTTCTCAACTCTCCAGGTAAACATCCCCTGGTTAGCTCCACATTCCATCCCATTGACACCTGACTTCCCTTCACAGTCGGGAGTGATCATTGATGTCTCCTTCAAAATTAGTACTTCTGCAGAAAATGTGACCATGTCCTGAACAAGAAAACCAGAATCCTGGTCGAAAAGGTTGGTGAGTGTGATAAACTCACGCCACCCCCAGTCCTTAGCAGCCTTACAATATCGGTTCTGAGACTCCTTGATAACGGAGCGCTCCTCACGATGATTAACCACAGAAAGGCGGTGGCTAACGAAACAGCTCCAATCTGCCGACGAATTTCTGGAGTCCGTAACCTCCAGAAACATAGAAAGATGGCAGGGCGGCTGCGATTGTCCTGCATTTTACAAAAACACGTCAGGTCGTAGAGCAGAGATAAACAGTTACATACCTCGAGGATAGACAATAAGACGACAGTCC